CATAATGAAGCACTATGGGGAGGTACCAAGGCTAGCTCCAAATCAACCAGTCTGAGTACCAAAAGAAGTCCATCTGGGTTTAGTGCAGTACTTTCCCTGGGCTAATATAATTTCAGCAGGGCTAAGGGTGAGATTACACATTTGAGAGAGCAGGTGCTAACTATAAGGAAGGTTAGTAAATGTTAAGGCTAGCAAGTGCTAGTGATCGGTTATGTGTTAACGGTTAATAGTTTTTAGTAATGATTCTCTTTGTTTACATAACTTATAGGTTTCCTACTTTCATATTTGACAGCTGTTTTCCACATGTATAAATCAAAGTTCAAGTCTTACCCAAGTCTGCACAGTTCAGTTTCATATTTCAATATGAACAAAATATTGCTTGTAATTCCTCCAAATACAGTTGCTAAAGATTGGCTATTGGATTGCCCTGCAGTATATGCTAATATGAGGGCCCACTTACTGTACACAAAACAAAATTAATAGATAGTTTAGCTGTTTAATTTTTGATGTTACAGTCATGATGATACAGTATGTTAAACAGTAGTGGATCAGTTAAAAAGCCACCAGATTCTTCCAAGTGAAAGAGCACCATCCCAAGTACCAGGGATTCATGCATGCACCTGGTATTGATGGCTGGTATTTAGTAAAAATCAAGATGTTTAACTACCCTATTAGTAAGCAGACATATATTATGAAATAATTTTGGGGGAGGGGTTCAAACACACATTACCTACAATGAAAAACACTCAAATACATGCAAACTGGAGGATTGTTATAAATAAATTTAAAACTCAATTACATTCGGACCATTTTTCAGATACCTTTGATTACATACCTACCAAACCCCCCAAAATTAATGTCTTTTATAGAACTTCCATTCTTTAAGGTTTCAGAAAGATTATCGAGAGCACAGTTTAAACTACGGCTGCCCAACTTCTAAGCACCCATGAGCTAAATGACCCATGGGGCACACCAACAGAGGCCAAACCAGAGTAAACCACAGACCCCAGTCATCCCCCCACTGCACTGGGTAGAAGCCCACTGCCCCATGCACCTGTGACACTCCTCTCCTGCACTGCTGCACTACACACTCGCAGGGAGGCCTCACTGTTGCACCATGTCTGTGCTCCCCAGCAGTGCTGCACCATTCACCTGCATGGCCCCAGGCTCACCCTCAGCTCCCCAGGAAGACAGGCCAGGCAGGAGGCTGGGGGCTGCAGCTTAACTCTTTGTTAACTCTATGTTAAGTTTGTGGGCTGCATGGAGTCTGCAAGCTACCACATGGAAAGCCCTGGTTTAAACAATATCAGTATTCCTAGAAGCTTTTAGCAAAAGCCAAAGGTGTTTTTCCCCACATAGTATGTACAAAGATACACCCCACACAAGCCAAACACACCCAACAGCCTTCAAACATAAAATAAATGTGGTAATAAAGCTCTTTATATATTTGCTTCTCTCTTCTAGGATCCAATTCTTTATTTTAAGAAGTTGAGTTAAAGCCTAAATATTTCATGTTATACTTTGGTAACTTTTTCAAACAGCCCAAATTTCACAAACCAACACCTCTTTTTTTTTTTTTTTTTTTTTTTTTTTTTACTTCGACTTCAGCACAAGGGATTGCTGTGCCAGCATACAAGTCAATTCCCTGAAGTGGAAACAACAACTTGAAAACATATCAATAAAAATCTCCCTTTAGTTTTTTTTCTTTAGGCCAAACAAGTTAATTCTCCCTTTCTCCAGGAAGTGGTCAGAACACCTGCGATGGCTACAGAGACCATACATGGCCTGAAAGAGTTGACATTTTCAAGATTTCAGGTTCTTATAGATTTCAAAATATTTCCAGAAGAGATAAAGGCACCAACTTTTTATGGTGAAAAGGGGAGAGAGGGAAAGAAAATGCAAAGAAAATAACTGCATTGAATCAGATCCCTTGGAATTTGACTAAAATGGTTATGTGTCATCTTGTAATAAAAAAAGTTTCCTGAGAGTGTTCTAGCTGTATCAGAATATCGGTTCATTACAGCAGAAATAGACTCATATCAGGGAGAAAGATACTCATCATGTTTTACTAATTACTGTTTAATTATATGTTAATATATAAACACTGTGTGCATGTACACACAATTTTGACTAGCAATGCCAATTCTCAACGTCAGGGGTGCAACTGAAGCAAGGTTGGCAGAAAAATACACAAATTAAAATAAATCAAATTCCTTTCATATCCATGCACTCGTAATCCAGTGTAGTTGGCCTGGTTATAATAATGGTGCTTATGTACAGGGAGACAACATAGGATGGATTGAGTACTCTTCCTTGGATTTACTATAGACACAGTAACTGAAGTCTGTCACAGATCACCTCTAACTACCATTTCTACTGCTTTGCTCAGAAATGAAGTTTCTCATCAATACCTGCTAGTATACATGAAGCATTCTTCAAACTTTCTTTCACCAAGTCATAAACACCTGCCTTCACACACTTGCTTAGCACAAGATTAGAGGGCACTGTGGTAAAATACCATACACAGGCTATATTATGGCTTCTCAACACCACTCTATAAACATGCCATGTTTCTTATCATCTTCCCCTAAGCAACTGCTACTGTCAAGACACAAAATATTGGGTTAATTGGAACCTTAGTCTGACCTTTTATGGTCATTTCCGTGTCCTCATGTAGAGGACTGCCACTACCACAACAGATGGTATTCAATCCATGCACCACGAAATGCACCAACAGACACATAGTTCATGCTATAGATGAGAATTGCTTGTAACACCTTTGGATACTACACTTTGCAAAGAGCACAGCTTGCTACATAATCTGTCCTGGTGCAATTTATGAGAAGACTCCTTTTACAGCTGTACCCACATTTAGTGTGCTGTACTTTGTTGTATTTTTTTTTTCCCCATCTCTGGTTGCCAAAAGCTACTGTTTACTCTACCTGTGATTAAAGTACAGTTGCATGTGATACTTTCACTATTCAATAATCACACCCTTCTTTTCTATTATATGTAGTTCAAAGACAAGACTGATCAGTGTTACAAACTGTTCTGTTCCATGAACAGAAACACACTGCCCCTTCCAAACACAGGAATCTTGTAATTATGCTAAAGACATGAAATTGGCTGTGAACCGCACTTGCAAGTCTTCCGTGACATCCCCTGTACTATTTAATGAATGTCTTTCATCTCTACTTTTCTCTTACTCTATGATCATCTGTTTTAGCACTTGCAATCTACTCTTAAAAGCCTGAGAGCCACTTTTTCATGATCAGGGCACTGCACCACAACCTCTCTGAATTTGGTGGCCCTGGGTAGGAACCACTCTTATACTGCCTCCATTTACCTTAGTGGTTATGAAATAGGGTGCTGCTCTATGCTCTTACCTCTTTAAGGTTTTATGATAAAGCTAAGGCAAGCAGGGGAAGAAGCACAACTCATGAGTTTCATGCCCAGGGCAAAACTCCTCTATGCTGCAGTGGTGGGGAGGGGGAAGTGAGAGATGGGGGAAGGACACCTGGGTCTAGGTGTCCTGCAAAGGGGCTATTCCAGCTGAGCCTAGCTACCTGGACAGGCAGCACAGAGAACTTCTACTGGGTGGCTAGGTAGCCTTGCTCTTCCCAGCTCAAATACATCCTTTAGCTCTTTAATCTGGTTCCCCAGTAACACAGTTTTTTTCCCTGGCTGTAATGCCCTGGGTTCTTCTGCTTTCCAGGGCTCAGCCAAAAACAAAAAAACAAATGCAAATAAACACACCCTTAACCTGGGCCCAGCAACACAAGCTTCAAAACCCTGGGTTAAACTGCACCATGGGGCTCACTTGCAAATCTCAAACAATCCAAAAAAACCCCCAAAACACTCCCAGCATGGGCTAGTTCTCACCCTATAATCTTCCTTTGAAGCATCCTCTTTCTCAATAAAACCAGTTTCCCCTCAAGACCCTCCTCCATTCACTTCCTCTTCCTATCCTTTTATATCTGGTCAGCCAGTCAACTTCCCCTCATAATTGCTGACTGCCTTCCTTATAATTAGCACCTGCTCTCTCAAATGCGTAATTTCACCCTTAACCCTGGGTGAGATTCAAAAATACAAATTAACAATAGAACAACCCAGAACAAAGGATATTGACTGGGCAACTTTAAAACTCTATTAATATACAAACTATTACTTCAACTTATTCACATAAACTGTAAAGCACCATCTACAAATATAACCTGCAATCCTTAGACTACCTTGGTGTCCTCCAGGGCAGAGGCCCCACTCCCAAGGTACAACTACAGGAAAGGAGGTGGGGGGAAAGAAAAGGAGAGGGGGACCCCAAAGACTCCTAAGCTCTACCACTACCACCCAGGAGTAAATAAAATAATTCAATACTAACAAAATGTATGAGCTTATGATAACTGGAATACCATCAGTATCATACAATCTTTCTACTTCAGTGAAATTAGAGAGGTTGCAACACAAAGTGACAAAAGTAAGTCAAGAGCTAGTGCTAGAAAACCCTTTCTGGTTCCACAGAGTTTAGGTCTCATTTCTTACCAACCCTGAAATCTGGTGTCTCACCCTTTCCAACAAACTCGTTGGAATTGTAGAGACTCCAGGGAGTATACAGAAGGGCTCAGTGCACATTTTATAGTGCTGTAATTTAGAGCACTTTCTATAACACTATAAAGTTACAGCGTTCTTAAACATGACAGAAGTGCAGATTTTGGTCCCAGGGGCCTTGAAGCGTCCCTGTACTTTCCAGGCTAGGAGGCAGGGGGTGTTCTGCAGCATTCTGAGGCTTCTCCACTGGTCTAAAGTTTGACCAGCGTACAAAAGTTATTTAAAGCACTCTAGGTTGCTGAAGTGCTGTAAAATACACTTCAAATTTAACACCTAATTTTAGAGGGGTTAATTTGAAGTCCTATACTCATTTTTGAAGCACTGTAAAGCCATGCACTTCTGTTAAGTCAAATAAATAAAGCACTTCAAATGACAAAAAAAACCCCTTCTATACACACCCCAAATTGGAAATTCATGCTGTTTTAAAAGCCATTGACCCGTCCTCCCCCTCTTCTCCACAAACAGTTCTTCAAAAAAAGGGCAAGATGCCAAGAAGATACTGAACTATCAGCTAAAATTTCAAACCGTCTTAATCAGGTGTAGGTCAAAGGAAGTAATTTCCAGGCTTCCAAACACCTGCTGTTATCAGATTCTTAATTCATATTCTGCTGTGTTCTAGCAAACTTATTAGGGACCAAAAGCAGCGTGGATCTGATTTAAATCAATGTGATTTAAACTGCTGGCCAGGAAGTCTTGATTTAATCATTGTTTTCTACAAAAAGTGAATTCTTGTTGTTTGATATCCTTTATTTAACTTCCTGAAACTTTACACTTTTAGAGTGAGGTAAGGGATTGACTCTGTCTGTGTACACAAACTTGCAGAGAGACAAGATGGCTGATGGGTAGGTAATCAGGTCTGTTATCTCTCATCTCCATATTCTGCTATTAACAAAGATGTTATCTCTGGACAGACAAATCCACAGTTTGAGAACTGAAAGTAAGCATCACAGAGATGCTTAATGGGATCTTCTAGACTGAGCACTGAGTCCCATTGGGTAGACTGGTTTTCTTTAAACTTGACTAATCTATACAGGAGCCTCTGGGAACCCCATAAGATTGGGCCCCTAATACAGTCCATGGTCTGTTGTTGTTATACAACTTTTCTAAAAAGGTTACCTGAATATATTGTCTCAAATAGTATAAAATTAGAAGTTATAATCTCTATTGTATGATGATATCTTTGAGCTTTAAAATCTCTTCTTTATTTAAACTATATGTAAGGTGTTTAAAAAAAATCTTAATTAAAAAAATCGAAAACATCTGATTAAATAAAAAAAATCATTTTTTAAATTTTTATCCACCCTGACCAGAAGCACTGTTCCTTAAAAATAAATTAAAGATATTTTTACATTATATGTTCAATGCCAAGATATCCAAGCATTCCATTAAATTTAAGAGATGTTGTTTGGATTAGGTTCAAATAACAAGCACAGCACAGAAAATAACTTTTTGGAAATATCCAAAATAAAGTTCCCTTTTAGAAGTTCTGGGTAAAAAAAAAAATTCTGGGAAATGCCCGTTAAGATCCTCACAGCAAAATTTCACATATGGAAAAGGTA